CCCCAAAACCCCAAAACCCCAAAACCCCTCCTCAATTCTTAAAAATTGACAAAAAAATAAGATTTTTCAGCTAAAATTATTATAAAGGAAATATTGGCTGGAAGAAATCTGGGCTTGAGAGGAGTGGGAATTGGAGTAGTGACTGAGAGGGATTGGGAGAAGGAAGGGGTAGCTGAAACTTAGCACTAGGAATTGGACAATAAGGGATTTGCCACGTATGAGAGTATCTTTTCCAGATATTGATGAGCTTTCAAAGAGATCCTGTTTACCCTCATTTTCTTGGGGGTTAGACCAACAAACACATGCTGAAATTTCATCTTTTGAGCTTGTTGAGATGAAGAAAGAGTTGATACATCAATTGAGCAAGTGAAAAACTTGTATGGAGCAATGCTACATGCAACAAATGTAAAGGAACTTCTTGGAAACTAAGTCTCACAATTATCTCTGAAATCGCAAACTTTTGTGCAAAGTATGGTTAATTGCATTTATTACGTAATTTGATGCTAGGTTGACACTTAAAGATACTCCCCGCTTTCTCTATAATTTTCTTAGAGAAACTCTTGAAGGTATGGCTCCTGAATTGCCTTTATCTGTTTTTCAAGCATCTGGCCAGGTTTGGGAGAAATTTCAACAACAGAGATACGCTTACAGCAAACTATATAAAGAAGATTTTGGTCCAAACTTTAATAATTAATTAAATTTTATGGTTAAGCTAAGAAAATTCAGAGGATATCTAGCTCAGAAGGAGAACATTGAGAAGATCATCAGCCCTCCTTATGATGTTTGCAGTATCAAAGAAGCCAGAGAAGAGACTGGAGATAATGATATGTACTACTATCATGTCAACAAGCCAGCCATTGATCTCCCTGACGATTGTACTATGGAAGACGTTGCTAATAAAGGTAGAGAAAACTTAGAAGCTTTCATTGAAAAGGGCTATCTTGTCAGAGATGATGAAGAGCGTATCTACATCTACTCTCAACAACTTGGAGACCACCTGCAGTTCGGAGTCATGGCTCTAGCCTCCATTGATGACTATGATACTGGGAAAATAAAGAAGCATGAGCATACTTTGCCTGAAGTTGAGCTAGAAAGAACCAATCTCTGTGATACTCAGTGTGCCAATGCAGGACCTGTCTTCTATTCTTTCAGAGAGCAAGAAGAAATTGTTCAGAAGATTTCTGGCATTTCTCAGCAAGATCATTACGCTCAAGTCACCACAAAGGATGGTGTGGTTCACACTCTATGGAAGTGTTCTCAGGAAGACTCAGACTGGATTGTTGAATCCTTCAAAGATGTTGATAGCCTGTACATTGCTGATGGGCATCACAGGAGTGCTGCTGCTTACAACGTCGGCAAGAGAAGAAGAGAAAGAGAGCTAGCAGCTGGTCACGAAGTGACCGGTGAAGAGTCTTTCAACTTTTTCATGACAGTAATCTTCCCAGCAAACCAGACCAAAATCCTTCCTTACAATAGACTGCTGAATACTCTCAATGACATGACTGAAGAGGAGTTTCTGGAAAAAATCAAGAAGAACTTCGATGTAGAAGAGATGAAGGGAGATGACCACAGCGCTAAAGAAGCAGGCCACATCTCCATGTACCTCGGTGAAACCTGGTATGACATGCAGTTGAAGCCAGAGTTATTTAGAGACGAAGTCTCTCTAAATCTTGACTACACCGTGCTAACAGACTTCCTTTTCAAAGAAATCATGGGAATTGAGAACATCAAGAAAGACGGCAGGGTTGAATTTGTCGGTGGTGGAAGAGGAATCGAGTATTTAGTGAAAAGATGAAGCGAAGACTGCAAAGCAGCTTTCGTCATGTTCCCTATTAGAATGGACGACCTCTTCGCAGTAGCAGATGCTAATGAGATCATGCCTCCTAAGAGCACATGGTTTGAGCCAAAGCTTCGATCTGGATTCGTGGTAAACGTGTTCGAAAAGGAGCTAGGCCTATTATAATTCGCTAAATTACCATTTCAGCTATAATTTTTATAAAAGGGGTTTTGGGGTTTTGGGGTTTTGGGG